CCGGCCCGAGCCCGCCGCCAGCCGCGCGCCTGCCATGGAGCCCGAAGGCCCCCGCCGCCGCCACACCCACCAGCGCGGCTACGCCGTGACGCGGAGTCCCCACCTCAACAAGGTCAGCCCGAGGCCCCCTGGCCGCCCACCGCCCCTCTGGTCGGCGGCAGGCCCCCGCCTCGGGTCCCCTCAGCAGGGCCTCGGCCGGGTGAGCGGCCCGGGCCGCGGGGGCCTGCGGGGCGACCTCCGTGCCTCGGCGCGCGGACTGGAGGGGCCGCCCGGCCGGGTCTGTGCCCGGGGTGTGATGGGAGGGCGGTGCCGGCGCCTCCGCACCTGGGCATCCCGTTCTGGGCAAAGATGTGACTTGTTTACAATACTTTCTGCCTTGTATCTCCAAAGCAAGAGCCAAGCTAAAGAACACAGTATCAGGAAAAGAGCGTGAATTGAGTGTTTTGGGGAAGGTAGCAGGTAGTCTGCCAGGTCAGCCTCGATGGGCCACCCACTTACTGGTTCCACTCGGTGTGGCAATTATTGGTGGCTGCTTGGGAGAAGTGGCCCTACTGGTCCAGCCTGTACAGACGTGTGTTTTGAGAGCCTCGGATCACAGTAACAACCTGGAAGTAAAGGCCTCTTGGTTTCTGGAGTGACACGGTTAGGAGTCTGGGAATGCCTGGTGGGTGGCCTCTGCCCTGGACACTTTGCATGGCCGGGTACAAGAGCCCTGTCTTAGACGTGGGGCTGTGGGTGAAGCCATTTCTGTTTTTTGCATCTGGCCTTCTGGAAATTAAAAACATTTTTTTTAGACCTCTCCTCTTTTTATTACAAAGGGAATTCAGTGTACACTCTTCAGAGACCGTTTTTCAGATCCTGGTAACATTTCATTTTTCTTCACTGGTAATGTAGTGTAAACACCTAAGATCGCTCTCAAATGAAAAACACCTCAAAATTTATAATTTTGCTTATTTAGTTACGAAGCAGTCACACGTTTCATAGCCAGGTTTGTCTCTGGATTGTTCCTTTTGTATATGTGTGCTTTTGACATTTTCTTTTTATTTAGTATATGGAAAATGCTTCAGTCAGCACACAGTTCTGCTTAGTCATTTTGGTTGTCTCTGTAATAGACACTTTTTTTCATTAAGAAGTGGACCTCACCTTTTTCCCCCTGGTCATGCTGGTGATGACCAGCATGGTCATTGCTGGTGATTGGTTGATCATGATTAATGGCTTGAAGACTTGTGATATCTTTTATTTAATAAATTATAACTAGTGTGAGTTCTTTTTGATTTTTGTGGTGACAGGTGACTTTTACAAATCTGTGATTATTTAGTACTTGTGGTCATAAAGCATTGTGAAATTTTAAATATTTCCTACTTATTTTTTTCTTCAAAATGAATTTAATTGCTAGTTTGATTTTTTTCTTCCTTTTTATTATTCTGCAGGTGGGGCCTATTTTCATTAGAACAAAGGTAAACTTTGATGTAACAAAACAGTTTGTGGCTTTCATGTGTACCTGCCTGCTGTAATTTATGACCAAATAATGGGTCGCCACTTAAGTATCATGAGTGGTATAACCTGTTTGAATTTACTCAAGTCAGGGGCAAGAGTGTCTCTTCCGAGTGGGTGGATGGACTAGGCAATCTCTGAGCAAGAGTAATTACACCTTTACTGTTTACATCAACAATATATGACATTAAAATCCTTTCAACTCCTGTTTGCCAGGAGGGATTAATTCCTACATAGGAACAATAGTATCACAGAGATCTTCTACCAAAGGTAGAAAGGTGCAGGATTAATGTGTTAAGAACATGTTTTTGAATTTGTAATTGAACTTTATTGTCTGCATAGTATCAAATAGGATTTAAAATCTAGGTCACCGACTTTGGGGTGATCAATGGAATAAACTTTATTCTTCTTATTCAGTTCTAAGACAGCTGTCTGGTGCCTCATGGAAGTAACAGAATATCCTCATATGTACCATTGAAACCAAAGCTGTGGGACCTTTGTGATCTGCCTGCATCGAAGACCTCTGGGCCTTTGAGTTTTCTAGTAGCCCAGGAATTTTTATTGATTTTTGTGATACCCTTGGTTCCAAAGAAACGCTAGTATTTCTTACCCTCCTATAATATCCCAGCGGGTCACCTGGCCGCACAAAGCCTTCTTCAGCCCGCCTCACACAGACCTTCATCACATCACCTTTTGGGTAACTGCAACAGTTGAGCTGGTTTTATTTTCAGTATTATAGTCTGTCCTACATGTAAGTATAAGAGAAATATCTTCATCAATTAGCATTTTCATGTTACTCTTCTATTATCCAAGTATTTATAGTATGGTATTATTTCCTATTATGTTGAATGTAAAATCAATCTGTCAGTTAGGTTTACTATTTTCTCCAAATTTATCACATTAGTTCCCCAACTTAGCCTTCCACTTAAATCTCTTACTTAATATTTTCCTTTTTGTCTGTGTGTAATTCCTACAGTTGAACTGTCGTTAGTTGATTTAATAATGTTATCTCTAGAGAAGACTTTCCTAATTATCTTAGTCCTCTTATCATTACTTAACACCTCTGTTTTTTGTGTATTCAGTTGTACCATGTCATTGTGTATTTACTGCATTGAATTATTTTATTTTATTTTGATTGTCATAGGGGAGGAATCATAATACTTAGTACAGAATTTTGCTCAGTGGATATTAAATAAATGTTTATTTAATGAACCAATGAGCCACGTTGTTATTTCTTTTTGTCTTCCAAATAGTACTCAGCTTTTAAAGCAGGTAGTTTGGGCATTATCCTAAGACATTTATCTTTAATGTAATTTCTTGAAAGTAAATTCACATTGAGGTCTAAAGCTCAGTTGACTCCCTATACTGTTGTATTATATAGTGGAATATAGTCAGAAAAATTGGAATTTGGTTATAAGCCTGACTGTCCCATGAAATTTTAAGTACTTGTTGGATAACCTTAGGGAGTTACTTAGTCTTGGTAAAAATCAAAGTTAACAGTAGATATGATCTGAATTAAAAAATAGAAAATTAAAAAAAACCTAAGAGAAATAGGATCTTTCTTCATTGGTAGTAATTCATGTATGATTCCTACTATTTTCTTATACTCAAAAGTACGTCATTCCAAGTAGGATTTCATCGTAGCATATGGGGAAGTACTTCTGTCTCAAACTTAGGAGATTCGATATCTTTCTGTACATAGCCAAAACTATTTTTGAGGTGCTTCTCTTTGCCTGTGTTATGTTATATGTGCGTATCTAATTTAATGTTAATGATTTTCAAGGATACTTTCTGATTTAGATGAGTTGTGTTTCAAATTTTTTCTCAGGAATTTTCATGTGAGTAATAATGTTTCATAAATCACTCTTCAAAATTAAAATTCTACACACAATAAAAATAATCACACTTAGTTTTTGTTTCTCAATTTATTAGCTAATTTTATTTCTCTCTGCAGTAGTAGAAAACACTAATTGATGGTTCTATCATAGTTAACTCTTGCTTGCATGGTTTCCATATCTTTAAGATTAAATAATACCATGACCTACAAGTAAATCTCCAAAAGACACCGCTTTTCAATATTTTAGGCATTTTGATCCAGTTTAAGTTAGTGATAGTATTTTATTAAAATCATTTCTGCTCAGTGTTATTAACTTTTAAATGTAAAAAATGAGCTTCTGGGCAAGTGCTTTTGTAGATGTTTGTGTCCCAGCATGTCAAGACCTAGTGGGGTGCATTGTAGGGAAAAGAGAGAGAAACAAGTCTCATGACTATGAAGGAAAGATACCTTAACCTCCTCTTTTTCTTCGGTGTAAACTATGCCAGAAGGAATCATTCAGGAATTTTCGCGTACTGCAGGTCTCTGGAGCTGCCTCAGCAGTATGAGAAACTGGTATCGTATTTAATGTAGACTTCCACCGACGTGAGAGCGGTTGTAATGAAGATGTGCAGCCAGAGCCTGCACACCTGTTGCCTTGCTGCAGCTGGAAGAAGCGCAGGAGTATGGGGCGGCACGAGAACAAGGAAGGTTGTGCTCCAATGAGTGGAAAGATGAGTTTGCTTCAAGAACTCTTGAGACTGGTGTTACGGAGTACAGAAAATATTGAAGAGAGGAATAGGTTTGAGACTTTTCATTTTTGTGTCTGATTTCCCTATAACTTTTTGGTAAGTGTGGGAAATGCAATGTAATGGAATGAACATTCTAAGACTTTGTGTCAAGATGAGCCCAAGTCCCAATTTTTCCAGTTAGCAGATGTGAGATTTGGAGTGAGATTTTCTTAACTAGCTTCGATTACTGTGCTTGTAAAACAGAGTGATAATTTCATTCGTCGTCTTTTATTTAACAAATGTTTATTCAGAACCCACTATATGCTAGGTAATATTCTGGGTGCAGGGGATATAGCAATGAATAAGATTCTTGCTGTAAGTGTCCTCAGTTTCCATTGTAATATGATTTCTGTCTTGCCTCTTCACTCAGATATTGGCGAGATTATTTGAGATAGTGCATGTTAATTTTTTCTAAATTATATATTCTAAAAACAGGAGGTTGTTTATTACTACAACTAATTATTAATGTGATAGTACTTTTATATAAAGAGCCTGAACTAATAGCTGGAATAATTATAAAGTACCTTTTTTTTTTTAGTGTACTTACCCTCTTCTCTCTTGAATTTTTTTTTTTTTTTTTTTTTTTTAAAGATTTTATTTATTTTATTTTTTCCCCCCAAAGCCCCAGTAGATAGTTGTATGTCATAGCTGCACATCCTTCTAGTTGCTGTATGTGGGACTCGGCCTCAGGATGGACGGAGAAGTGGTGCCTCGATGCGCACCCGGGATCCGAACCCGGGCCACCAGCATTGCAGCGCGCGCACTTAACCACCAAGCCACAGGGCCGGCCCTCTCTTGAATTTTTGATGACATGATTCTGTTACCTCTTTAAGTTATGAATTTTATAGTAAAAAACAAAAGTATATCTTCTCTCTGGGAGAGACAGATTTACATTTTACTTTCAGATTCATATAACTGAGCTTGACTGACATCACTGCTCCATCTCATACATTTCCACAGAGTGCCAGATATTGGTTAAAGAATGTCTTTGTGAAGAAAAAGAAAAAGGAAAGC